TACATGTAGATCTTTCTCAGATTTGTTCATTTTGTGATGATATCTTCAGTTCTCTAATTTTGGTGAATATTTTTGTCATTTTTGGTAAAAAGTGATATTTTCGACTTCTTGTTGAAAACTGTAAGTCCGATTGCTTTGATATTACATATATAGGTACTACATGTGGACCTCTCTCAGATTTGTTTGTTTTGTGATGATATCTTCAATTCTCTATTTATTTTGGTGAATATTTTTGTAATTTTTGGTAAAAAATGATATTTTCGACTTCTTGTTAAAAACTGCAAGTCCGATTGCTTTGATACTATTCATATTGTTCATTTTCTAATGATGTCTTCAGTTCTTTAATTGAAATGTGCATTGCTAACAGCGGAGCTATCTCAGCCGATAGGCTGCTTGTTTGAAATATGTCGTGGCCCTGAAAAGGACCGTTAGGTTTGTGTTTCCTTATAGAAACGATTCAAGCAAATCTTACAGTACATGTATAGAGAGCCGCAAAGCAAGTGTCGCACTCGTTCGGCTTTAGCATCACCGACAATGAAACCAATGTTGCAATATTGTAGCAACCCGTACCTGGCCGAGTGGTTTAAAGCACGTTGTTTTGGCTTAAAAATATTTGCGAATCCATAACTGGGACCAGCAATTTTGCAATGTCACGCCGAAGACTGCCAACTTTTTTACCATCTTTCACCACAGCTATTGCATTTCATGGAAATTAGTCTTCTGTCGTTGGAAAAAAAAAATCTTCCTATTTCAAGCCCACCGCGATATCCATATAATATGCTGAATTGTAACTTTCACCATGATTGATGAACAAACGTCTGATAAAAAAAGCGATGTTGAATTTACCTCTATGATGAAACACTAGTAGTGATGTCATTCTTAGCCAATCGGTAAAGCGGATGCTTAAAAGTCAAAGATGATTGCCAGACAGTAAACAAAAGCATCGTGCGAGTCGTTTGCTGCGACCCCATTTTTCTTGTCTCTTTATTGTGATTACCAGACAGCGAAATCCGTGGATTAAATGTGCTAAGTCCAAATTTGGTGGGACGGCATTGACTAACTTCAAGACGAAGCTATAGTGATTTTGTTCGATCGCGACAGTGGAATTTCAGGGTTTTGACTTTTACGAAGATAGCAATGAACGTACAAATAGAGATCTTAGATGGTTTTTTTTTTTTCTAACAACTATGAACTTTGGTAATTTCACTGCGTAAATTATTATTGATCTTGTATGGCTGTTGATCCGGTATTTGTCAAAACCGGAAATAATTCATGTTTATGAGTGTTTGTCGACGGGGATATTCTAATTCAAATGAATCTTCACTGTCGATTTTTATTATTTCAGGTTTTAATATTTGTCACATTCTGAGCAATAAATTATTTCTTGTTACACTTCAAGTTTTCAATTCTCTGTTTGGTGAATATTTTTGGTCAAAAATGTTGTTGTTGACTTCTTCTTAAAACTCCAGTTGATACTTGATATATGTTGGATAGAACTCTATTAGATAAAAGACAATAGAAAGAGATCTTTTCTATTGTCTTTGATTAGATTTAGTTCTTTCTATGATATTAGGAAATCACTCAAAGCTTTGCTGAAGCAGCATAGGTATTTCTACCATTGGGTTGCTTGTGTGTATGAAAAATAGCACAATTGTACAGACAAGGAAATCTGACCATCAGTTTTAATGATAACCTACCATGTAAATATTTCTATTTCAGAGCTGATGGAGTATACCAAAGTATGAAATCATCCTTTGGTACGCACGCATGTCATCTATTGAAGATCAATTCCAGACCCATGCATACAACAACGGAGGCGTCTGAATTCACCAATGCTGACCAGGGCAGTCTACCCAATCCTTGGAGCCAATTTATAAGCAAAAAAATAGATTCACAGGTGAGAAATATATTCTTCATTTATCAGGACGGTAATGCAGTTACTGTACGAGAGGGATAATTTGGTTCTTTCGTGCAATTTAGTGATTTTCCATGTGTTGAATGTTTTAATTAATCCATGTGAGCAAGACAAAACAAATCTTTTAAATTGATATGACGATTTGATTATAATTTGTTGCTTTGTCCATAAATACTGTATTGTTTATTCTGTATAGTCACAGCCAATCATCATGTCACAGTAACAATGTTCAATGTGCAAAGCTAAGAAGCAACAACATAGAACATTGTATTCTATTGCCATGTGTGATATTTAATGCTTTTTGAACATTCATAGATAATTCAAAATTAAAAAACGTTTCGCTTGATTGATTTTTGGTGTCTGTATTCTGATTCAATTCAAATTTGGTTTATAGTCATGTTTCTCAGTTCTAATGTTGCTTTGAGAAGAATTTATATTTTAATGTGTACTCATCATTATGGGGTTTCATTAAGAGCTGGTCTTCAGCTATATGGCGGCTACAAGCCCAAATTGGCCGGTTACTTTCTGGCCCCCCCCCCAGACTACTAACGCCGGTCTCGCTGCAGCACTTTGCGTCCATGCTCCCGTCCATGCGTCCGTCCGTCCAGAGTCATATCTCAGAATCCCTTGGACCGATTCCGTTCATTCTTTTCATGTGCCTAGTACTTTATGTGGGACATATGCACATGCAGTGGTTTAGCGATTTGATTCAAAATGGCCGACTGGCAGCCATCTTGTTTTTTGAAAATGTTGTATTTTGGACATGATTTGTCAGTTTTCATTCAAACTAGGTACATAGATCATACATGTTAGGATACATGTCCCCGACCGTCCGTGAGTTCCTGAGTCTGTCCGTCCGTCCGTCCGTGTGTCCGTCCGTCCGTGTGTCCGTTCGTCAGTCTGTCCAGAGTCATATTTCAGAATCCTGTGGACCGATTCCGTTCATTATTTGCATGTGCCTAGTATCTTATGTGGCACATATGCACATGCAGTGGTTTAGCGATTCGATTCAAAATGGCCGACTGGCAGCCATCTTGTTTTTTGAAAATGTTGTATTTTGGACATGCTTTGTCAGTTGTCATTCAAACTTGGTACATAGATTATACATGTTAGGATACATGTCCATGATGATTTATTTCGCAATTGGATCAAAGATGGTCGACTGGTAGGCATCTTGTTTTGTTTTTTTATGTGGTATCTTGGACGTGCTCTGTCAGTTTTCATTCAAATTTGGCACATACATGTACTTTATACATGTTAGGATGCATGTCCATGACAATTTGTTTCAAAATCTGGTCAAGGATGGCCGATTGACAGCCATCTGACTTTTTGGCCTTACTACTTTATTTCCACAATTTATGTACCATTTTCATTCGTATTTGGCACATGCATCATACATATCAGTGTGTTTCATAATCAGTTTAAAGATGGCCGAATAACGGCTGTTTTTGTTTTTGGCCACGTGTTTTGATGTAAATAAACAATCTGTTGTATATGCCACTTGAACTCAGTTTCAAGGACACGCTCGCGACACTCCTCCGCTTATATGACGAGCTCATAAGAACTTTCACAAAT